AGGGAGAGCTCCAAGTGTTCCTCGGAAGCCGGAGCAGCAGCCCGGTTGCTTTCTCGCTTTTTGTTTTTATGGTTGGGTTTTTTTTTTCCCTGCTTCGTGATTTGTTTCGCTTGTCTCCCGAGGGAACGTTGTAGGAATGGTCTTTTTTAGCAGTGGAATCTGCGCAAAGGAGGATTATAACAAATCTCTATGAATGATAGACTCGATTGCTAAACCTTGCCTTGACCAGCCTTCTGACCCTCGGAGAGATCTCAGGGTGTGCGTGGGAAGGAGAAAAAAACCCTCCCCTTTGAAAATAAACTTGAGGAAAAAAAGACATTTTTTTTTCTTTTTTTGGACAGCCTGTTTTATAATCACTTTTTTTTTTTTTTTTTGGTCGTATTCTGTGATAATTTTTTAAAAGGATTGCCCTACATGGTTGTTTTGTAACTGGTGGAGGAAGGAAGGATCCCTCTCAAGCGCTTCTGATTTGACAGCTTTGCTTTCTGAAGAGTTAACCGGTGTTTGCATGATACACCTATTGCTAGTGTGGTAGCGGACTTCTCATTTTTCATTTGCTTTTTTATTAACTGAGGCTGGTGGAGAGAGTTATCCTGGTCAGAGGAATATTTGCACACACACACACATATATATATATATAGTATATATTTTTGGTGGGGTTCTCCCCACATTTTACTGTCTCTTGATGACTCCTGGAGGTGGTAGTGGGCCCATGAAAGACTGTGAATACAGTCAGATCAGCACACACAGCTCTTCGTCTCCCATGGAGTCTCCCCATAAGAAAAAGAAATCGGCTCCCAAGAGAAAATGGGAGGTTTTTCCTGGAAGAAACAAATTCTTCTGCAATGGGAGGATCATGATGGCTCGACAGACTGGAGTCTTCTACTTGACTCTTGTTCTCATCTTGGTCACCAGTGGACTCTTCTTTGCATTTGAGTAAGTGACACATATGAAGTCTTCATATCTTGCTTCTCTTCCTCTAGTTACGTATTTTCTGGCTGAAAGAAAAATAAAACATATTTATTTAAATGTCATAGAGAATGTTGGTTTATATAATTGAAAATATGATCTAACATACCGAGGGACACACGATTCCGTTTCGATTGTCATACTCTGTGGAAAACTGATGTTTGAGGATTAAGGTTGTAGTGCTTTTATACCACAGGTTTCCAGCTCTTGCTGATGTTGCAAGAGCAGTTTTAAACAGCAGGTTTGGAATAATCAGGAAATGATGTAGCTTCTTGTCTGTCATTTACTCTGCTGATAATCAAAACTCGTAGGTGCAAAAATATTGACCCTTTTGTCACAGAACTAAAAGCAAGAACAGCAATATCTTTAATTAGTTTACCAATATCTTTCATTAGTTTATTAATTTCACCCGGTTTGTTTTTTTGTGTGTTTTTTTTTTTTGTTTGGTTGGTTTGTTGGTTGGTTGGTGTTTTGTTTGTTTGTTTGTTTCTCTTTAAGTCATTGAACAGCTTGTATGTAGATGGGAATTCCAAATTAGTGAAAAAAGAGAGTATCATACAATTTTGCATGTACTTAGCTTTCCACCACTAGGCAACAGCATTTCTTTCTGCTTGTGATGATAACTTGTGAGTTTGGTCTTAACTTAAAGCTGTATTTGTTCTGGAGTCTTAGATATTATTTTTTAAGCAAGCTTCTGATGTCCTCCTAGGGCTTTTTTCTCTGTTACTCTGAATCTTACGGAGTCCTTCTCATCTATATAAAGTGAACACTCAGTGACAGCAAATCAAATACACTGATTTTTGCACTTGTGTTAGAGTGGTTAAACTAGCTGCTATGTGTGACAATAAGAATTAGGCACTTGATGTGAACAGTGCAGTCCAACTTTTGTTTACTTTTTTTTTTTAAGGCACTGAGTATAAAGGTGCTCACACTGCCAAAACCCTTGCTATAGTGTATTCTTTTAAGAGAATTAATGCTATGTTACCTGTTTTGAACTATTGTAGCTTCATTTGTGATTTGTGGCAGGAAAAAAAAAAAGTCTTCAAAATACTTTTACAGCTCGTACTATTTTCTTGAATAGGAACTGTAACTTAGAAGTGACCTTCAGTGCTGCCTCCAGAAATCTGTTCACTTTGCTAAGCTGAACAAGAAAGGTCATTCATTAGTTGGTGTCTTCAAGGAATAATATATTGACATTAGCAAACTCACACTTGTACCAGTTAAATGTAGGTAATTTTAACATACTGGTGGCAGTAAAATAAGTAAAAATGCTCAGCAGGTAACTAGTGGCTAAATATATATGTGAACTCAGCAGATGAATTGTCTTTAGTAGACTCCAGATTACTTTAGAGGGATTTATTAATTGTAAATCTTCTGCAGACATTGTGAAACTGCCTGAACATCCTTTGAGTAGTTGAAATAACACAGTCAATGATGGTATCCATGTACTGCAAGTGTGTTTACTTTCCTGGCTTTAAAGAGGTATTAAAGGTGTAACCTGATCATATTTCATCAGGACTGGGTGCCACTCGGTTCTCTTTGCCAAGATTAGGCCTAGTTTTGGAACGCTTTTCTGTGTGGGCTGACACTTGAGTCTGCGTTGCAGTCTCATCACCTTCAGCAGGGCCTCTGAAGGCAAGCACTGGACTTCCCACAAGTAATGCAATGTGTACAGTCATTATTGTTAAACTTACCTATTAACCCACCATTTACAGTTTATTTATTTGTTTTAACACTTTGGTCCTTCCTTCAGAGGTAGGTGCTCTCTGCAGCTGCATGATTTAGAACTGCTACAGCAGGATGAACTGCAAGGTGTTCATCACCTGACTTCATTAATGCAGTGAGTTACACATGTACCAGAGTCGAACACTGCAGCTTCTCTTGTGTCTTTGAGCTTATTTGCAATGTAACCATGTGTGATGGACAACACTGTTAGTCAAGCTACAGCATTTTGATATATTTGGTACTTATGCTTACCAGGAGTCTTGAAGCAGGGAAAAATCCCTGGCTTTATACAACTACATGAATTCTCTGTGTGTGCACTGGTCTTGAGTAATTCTTGAATTGCTTGTGCTCTCAAGGAAAATCAAAGTAGGGGTCACAATAGTATTCTATTTTTTGTAATAGTGAGATTGGTTTTGGTCTTTAAAAAGCTCTTGCACTGAAAATCATTATTCATCCTCTGAAGGCTAATTTAAAAACAAACCTTAAGACTAGAAGAATGGTGTTCAGCCTGTTTATGTTGTTGAAACTGCAGAAAGTTGTTAACGTTACAAAGAAAAGAGGGGAATCTCTTTGATTAAACAGTGTTATTTGAAGCAGTTTCTAATTGCATATCTTGCAGCAGTCTGAAGTTACTATTTATTGAGCAGTTGATAACATCTTGAGTTGTTGGAGTGTCACTTGCATTATTTGGCTGATTTGGTTATGATACTCCTCATTTACCAGCTATTTACAGAATATGACAGAAATGTGTTTCAGTCCTTTGTGTGCACGTGGAGCAAAGTGATTTTTAAATGGGCGTGTGCCTTGTGTGTCTGAACTGTAAGGTCAAACTGTCATTGAAGAGGAAGATACCCTGTATGTTCTTGGAATTGTTTGGTCTTTTTGCTACTATTAAAATAAATTATTTTGTTCCCTTTGGTTTTGGAAACTGCAAAGTAGGTACTTGCGTTCCAAGTCATTCTTTGGTTGCAGGCAGTGGAAGAGGGGGTGTAGGAAAGAGATTACTTTGACATCTAATTTTTGAGAAGGCATTGTGCTAACATAAACACTTGCTCTTTATCCTTTTGGCATCGTTTGTGCCTCTAACATGATTCCCCCCCTCCTTTTATTTTGCTCTTGACACTCATTCATCCAGAGCTGTATGTCATGTGCTTTGTAATCCTTGCCAGGGAAGAAATGCATTTCTCTGAATCTATAACTCTTACCTCTCCAAAAGCAAACATATGTCGTACATCGTGATCTGTATAGCTTTTGACATTGAACCATGCTTTTGTAATCTTGATTTCTTCATATTTATGCTTTTGTGCTTTTTTTCTGCCTACTTGTTCCAACTCCTACTTTCAGCTGGTTTTATTCCTTTCTCTCTCTTGACTTTTGTGTCTTATACACTCCAAGTATGTCACCACTGCTTCCTTTTATCATATCATCATTCTTTTTCATTTTCAAAGTCTTAAGTCAGAATTTGCTTAAAAGAATAACAACAATAAGCCATAAGCTTTCAAGCAGGTGAAGTATTTATAATTCCTTCCTCACTCCCCTTCAAAAGGATAAGAATGCAAATATCAAGCAGCTTTACTTCTGTAACTTTTCTATTAAAGTTGACATGAAGTATTGCAAGTGGTTTTGGGTCCCAAGAAAGGTGCAGTGCTTGCAGTGTTCTGAAAAATTACGCCTAATCTAATATGCTCCAGATGAAGCACCACAAATTACTTTGTCTGTAAAATTTGGGTATGTTGTTTTTATCTTGGAAATATGTTTCCTAACTCTAACCTTGTGAAATTTAGCTGGTTTTCTTTTTTTCTTGCAAATTTGGCTTAGTGTTGAACTTCCTCTTTTTCTTTGCCTTGCTCCATTACACAGATACTTTTTTTTTTTTTTTTTTTTTTAAGCTATTCAATGCTCATGTTGAAGTAGCTGCATGAAAAGTTTGGAAAACAAATTCCTTTCCCTAGAGCAAAGGTAGCATTCATACCTGAAGGGCAGATCTTACTGCTGTACCTAGCCAGTTCAACCACTCTGTTTACATGTATGTAAAGTCCTTTAGTGGTACAATAAAGAGAGGCAAAGCTAAGGCACATCGTACTTACTGCTTTTATTCCGCTAGGTGTACATACTCAAAAGAGAAAATAACCCTTTATGTGTATGGTCATTTGGGGCTACTGCTTTTGTAGGTTACAGGAAAGCAAAATGGAGGCTGAATGACATATTTAACACAGTGGGATATGTAGAGGAGACATTTTGTTGTTAAATGGCATGTCTTGTGTGCATGCACAAGCTTCATGAGTTCCAGAGTGGTGGTAGACAGCTTGGCTGCTTTGGTACTGGGAGTTAAAGCTGCCCCTGCCTGTCAGTTCCCTTCCTTCTTGGATTTCACTGTGCAGGTAGCAGGAGGAGGGAACATGTCTGCACCTGAGCTGCTTCAGTTCAGGCAGGCAAATTAAACTTTCCATAAAAAGTGGGATTTAAGTGAAGATGCTGACTGAACTGAATTGACTCAGGCACAGTCATGTGTTCTTCTGTGAACTCGGTTGCAGGGTGAGTGGCTCTGGAAGAAGGTTGAAGCAGATGGTAGGATGCCGGAAGGGCTGAGGCGGTGCAGCTCTTTTCTCTGTAAACGTGAGTCAGAGCCCTATTACTTCTGATACCATTTGACACTTGCAGTGATTCAACAAACTGGAGATTTTTTATTTTTTTTTTCTGTTGAGCCAATTAAAACTTGATTTTTGTGAGCATTTGTGCAATTGCACTGTCTTTCAAAAGAAAATTGGAAAATTATTTAAACGGAGACTGTTTATGTGCGTATGTGTACACATCATTGCTTTCTATCTGCTTTTGAGTTGCTGGCAACCTGCTTCATGCCTCCCACTTGAAAACCAGTGTGACTGGAGGACATTCATGAGTCATGCTTTCTGATGCAGTGTAGATTGTTCAATATTGAACTTCTATAGCACACCCTATGGCTAAGTAGTGTAAGTTGCTGCTCACTGTGACAAACATCTGTGTAAACACTGATGTCAGTAAGCTGAGTGTTTTCTCTGTGGTATCAACAACCATCTTCATCTTATGGCAAATGTTTTCTGCTCTTGCAAGAGGTGGATTCTTAGTGTCAGGTCATATTGCAAGTAGGTGGAATGTTTTTCATCTAATAACCTCCTTTCTTTGTCTGCTCTTAAAATGAGTAGGTTACTTAACATCTTTTAATGATCGTGTCCTTAAACTACCAGTTCCTCAGGAGGAAATGC